CCCCATCCCCCTATTTGCCTTTCAAGTATACAAGTATCCTTACCTCTTATCCAACTCAATTCCTCTCCGCTCCCCAAGGGAAACCAAAATTTACCCATCTACCGTCAAGGAACCCCCGGATTTATCAGTTTCCTTCCAATTATCAGTACACCACCCTGTAGCTTCATCAAACAACATAGAAACCACAAAACATCTCACTGGTTGAACACCAAAGAAATTCCCCCAACAAAGCATCTCATAAACCTAACATCAACGACCCCAGTGCAACCGCCTCACCCCCTGCGCCACTTGCGTGGCACGCAACACCCCGCAAGAATGCAAGTACGCTGTTCCAGATACCGATCGTCAAGCCATTGCTCAAGCCGAGCTGATTGCGGGCCTCCGAAGCCGGGCGAACCAATTACGCGATCAGCTGGGCATGGCGCGGGGGCTCGAGATCCTGGAGATTGAGGATCAGCAGGCATCCACAGAGTCAGACAGCGAGCAGGAAGAACGGTATGCCTCGATCGAAAATGAGATCGGAAATGGGGCCCCGTCACGGAAGGAAGAGGATCAGTTGGCCGAGCTGGAGGTGGTGTATGCGGCTTTGAGATGGGGGACGGGTGCGACCGTAGAGGAAGTCACCCGAAGGATTCGGAGAGGGGATCCCTTAGGGGTCATTGCTCAGGGGGTGGAGTTGGGGATGGGATCCGGCTTAGAAGACGACGTGGTGGTCCTGGATTGATAGAAGCGGCAATCCGTCTGCCCAGAGGAAATAGAAAATACTGCATATATCTAGTAGTCATCATCACATTGCGTTACAGGACATCTTCAGTGTTGCACAGTTGGTTGTACAGGGCGTGGTGGTGCGAGCTGAGTTCGAACACAGCAGCTCCCATTACGCAGCCACCCGCCGACAAAAACAGAGAGGTGGGACGAGACCACGGAATGGGGAGGCCAGGCGCATGTCAGGCTGGCGTCAAACGGAACAGAAACAGGAACCCTGACGGATCACCGCCGATTATGTACAATGTCGTTGGAAGAAGGGAAAAGAGAGAGGGGAAACAAGAGGGGCGGGAAAGAGAGATCCTGGACTCCGGTAGTACTTTTGCTCACCAGTGCCCATCATATTAGGATAGATCATCGCCCGGATTGCAGACGTGCTGCTCGGCTTTCGTATCCAGCACACTGGTGAGGCAATCCATAAGCTCAAAGTCTTCCACCACGGCCCCAAAACCATAGCAGCGGACCTTGGTATTGAGGGTTTCGATGACGATTTTGACGTCTTCCCGAGTCAACCGACCATAGAGTTGGTGATTTTTAAGGCATTGCAGCGCCATGATCGGCGTGATCTGCCCCTCCGTCACCAATTGTCGGCTGAGATTGAGGAGCGTGGTCAGATTGACGTGCGGCAGGTCGTACGTCTTGTGTGGGTAGGTTTGCTCGTTCGTCGTCGTGGCGATGTAGCTGGGAGGTGGACAGGTGGCCATCAGCGCATGCCCTGAGAACGGCATGTCTTCATCGTCCGCCTCGGTGATCGATCGGCGGCAGAGGTAGTCGGTGTGTTCTCGACAGGGCGATTCCAGTCTAGATCAACGTCAGTCGCACGAGATCGGCCACCAAGAAAACAGACTTACGTCAAGATGAAATCGATTTGTAGCTGAGGATCCGCCTCGAAGATGCCGGGTAGCTGGATCGGGGCGCGGCTGGCGGGAGCGATCTGATCGAGAGTGGCCAAGGCGTCACAGGGAGCGGCCTGATAGGCTGATTGAGGCGGCGCCAGCTCCTGAGTGGGCGATACATCGATCTGCTCGAGTCCATGGGTACTCGGACTCAAGCTGGCAGAGACCGTCGTCGGCGGCGTGGTGTAGACGGCACCTCCGTTAGGGGCGACGTTGCTCGGCTGCGAGGCGACACTGCTACTGGCAAAAGGACTCGAATGATAGCCCATGCTCCCGCGTTCCGCCTTGCGACGTTCGAGTTCCGGCTCGAAATTGATACCATGGGCCACGAGGATTTCTTTCAGGATAGTATTCTCGTCTGAGAGCGTTTGCACCATGTCTCGATGTTGCACGACCGTTAGATTGGCCGCTGAGATCTCCTGCGTGTAGGCCTCTCGCAACCGGGACACTTCCGTCTCCAGCGATCGGATATACTGTTCCTTACGTTCCCGATGGGTTCTGCGCCAACCGTTTGTATACAAACAATGATTACCCAAGTGGACCAAGTACGTACCTCTGGGCCTGGCGATTCAGTTCCTGTCGTCGGGTCATGGCCGGTTTGCTATCCGGCTTCGGGCCTCGTCGTTTCGCCGGTTGCCCATCTAACGCGGGGGAAAGATTAGAGCTGATAAGGTAAACGGACCGGACCGTGGGCTCACACACCTCGCGTGACTTTCTTCTGCGTACCACCAAAGAACTTGAGAAAATCGGCGCCTATGGTCGAAGGTCGAGATCCGGGTTGACCTAATGAGTCGCAAGTTAGATGCGCGACGCAGTCGAGATACAGGATACGGAAAGCGGAAAGAGTGCAAGACAGTCGAGACTTCTAAGTCAGAGCCAATACCAGACTGACTTCCACAGCGCGAACCACGGAAAGACGGGCCACGGACCATCGAGCATCTGAACCCAAAAAAGGCCGAGGAAGAGGCAAATCTTGGAATAATGATCTCAGAGAAAGACGAGTGTGAACTTACTCTGTGAACCATCTGGCGGAAGTGTCTGACGATTTGCGTTTGTGAGGTCCAATGGCATGGGGCCACCATTCATCGAGGCCATGGTGGTTGTCGCAGAGAAGAATGAAGGAGGAAGCGTAGATGCGACCGGCGCAGTCAGGATAGAATAGTGAGAGGGTGCGTGTGCGGTAGAGGAAATGACCGCGATAGAGTGGAGTGGGCGGTGGTGGGAAGAAGAGGCGCAGAGAAGCAGAGAAGCAGGAGGTCAGAAAGGAGAGAGACGACCGAACGATAGAATAGATCGAGTATGAATCTAAAACAACTCCAAGCTGGCCCATCTGGACCGTTTGTCAGCCTTAAAAATCGCGGCGCTGGGTTTGAGAAGCGGGTGGATGCTGGCTGTCGTCACAAGCGTTTAAAGCTCCGATTCTACCACGCATGGAGTTGGACTGTACAGTACCTACCGATGGATGGGCAGTCGGCTGTGTTTCCCCGTTGGGTGGATCTCCGGGATTGTGAGGTATGGAAGAGCAATCACCACGAGCACCCAATCAGTACGGCAGAAGAGCAGGTGAGGGGAGGAATGCAATCTTTGTAAATGAATGTAAAGAATTAGAGGAGGGGAGGAGAGAGGCGAGTGAAAGAGAGAGAGAGAGAATATGTGAGTGAGTGAGTGAGTGAGAGGAGGGGGAGGGGGGAGATCGGATAATGGATAACTACTAATTAGTTAGTAGTGGCAAGAGTGCCAGAGCTGGGACTGACCTGGCCTGGCCTGGACTGGACGGAAATGAATCTCAAACAGAATGAGTGGTTCTCACTATAGTAATCAAGACTTAAGCGGGAGCAAGGAATGATTGCCCAGTGATGATGGTAAAGGTGGACTCGGGATATGAGAAGTCTCATTTCATAAGCTCTTCTTACCCTAGGCTGTTCCCCACGCCTTCTTCAAATCCATGCATGTTCTATCGGGGAAGTGCCGGGGACCATTAGAGTGATAGAGGATAATACCGAACTAGGTCAGTTACTAGCTACTAGCCTACTAAGGAGCTCAGGCCAACTGATTTTGTACTTACATACTCGTACATAACTGTGCATCACCTGATATCTCCCTTTTCCTCCCAATTGTTTACTACCTACCCTCCGATTTGATCAGTGCAGCGGACAATAGCAATCAGCATTATACGTCTACTTGAAGGAATCCTCGGTAGCACACCAGATCCGATCTTGTCTCGGCATTTCCACCCGTCAAGTTCTGTGCGTGTTGTGATTCGACTGCTGAAACCGGCTAAAGCTTCAGTTCAGGACTAATAGAATCACACACTCTTTCCTTCGACTCTCCTGCAGCGTATTCGTACATCGTACGAAAAGCAAAACGCCAAGTGGAGCAGGAAAGTGGGTTCGATCGGCCAAAGGGAGAGGGAAAAAACGGGCAACTGGTCATTATCGATAGGCGGCGGCTAGTCCTTCCCAGGCTTCTCAGGCTTTCCACACCCGCAGGGGCTGCTGCCACTCACCATCTTTAACCGACCGCAACGGCCCAGCAATTCTGTAGTTTTCAAAGATGAAAGGCATCAATAGCTCCACGGTCGCAAAGATACTCCTCTAGGTCCTGTCAATAACAATTGGATTGATCATCTCCTTTTCAGCGTTGAAGTAGGTATGTTGGTTGGATCGATCGTCCCTGAGCCGGTGCTACAGCCTACCTGTCGTCTGCTGTGCGACGCCTGCCTGCCTCGCTTGTCACTCGGGGACGCAGCCGGCTTGACATCTCAGAAATTCCGGGACGCCTGTGCAACATCAACGCGTCCGCTCTGACTCTGATTAGGACCCTTTCGTTGAGCGCAGTCTCTGCTGCGCCTCTGTCCATCTTTTTCTTTCCCTCGACTAATCGGCAAGTATCATACTACACAATATTTCTTGACTCTGTTCCATGTTCCCACTCTTCCATTGTCTCTCTCCACTCCGGATTGTTTACCTTCATCAGACCCATCAGCTCCACCGTGCAAAGAAAGCCCTCAGTCTAATCAATTTAGTGGCCCGTTCCAAAGTGGTGCTAGTATCCGTTACGCTCCCTTAGTGGCAGGAACCGCACACTTTGTTTAATTGTTATGGTACGATTCCCAACGCTCCGACGGAGCTGCGCCATTATTGGGTCCGACGCAAGCCCACATCCACCTAAAACTTTCCTCTGCCGGCCTTTTCAGGTACATCGCGGTTCGTGGATGGTTTGTCCGTACGGGCCAATGGGGGCAGCTGTTGTGTCACGTCTCTGTGGCTGCGGCGATACCGATGCTTTCACATCTGTCACCAGCGCCTTCCAATAGCGCCGTTTGTATTCTCGCATACTCGCATCCTGAAGCCTGAATGATCCTGGACCGTGTGGTGGTCAAAGCTAATCGTCAAGGCGCCTTGCGAAAGCCAGATAGCTCGAGTCATCTGTGATTCAGAATTGCGTTTAGGGCGGTAGCGCTTCAGGTCAATCTCTGCCAAGGATCCAAGGATACTGCGTAGTGCAAGTAGCAACGAAGGTAATTGTTCTAGCGACCATCAAGCAACACGTTGCGTTCGCAGATCGCGCCAATACACTAGTTATACACTATGCTGTGGCAGGCAAACTTTATATTGCAGTCAGCGAGTATGAAGAAATCACTGAATAGGATTTGTGAGCATTAGAAATGCCCTTGAGGCAATCCCTAAAGCTCAAGGTTGAAATAATCGGCAAACGATAATGACGATCGTCGGTAGATGGTCACTCGATGAATTTAGTTGAGTTGTCTGCCGGACCAAAAGCAAAAGCCGAGACAATACCGACCGAGCTGTCTCGGATCCCGGGATTGTCTATCTTGCCCAGATGCAGTTGAGTGGATTTTGATAACTTGAAGGGGATTTGGAGATGCGCATGTGCCGGAACTATTGAAAGGCGATCGACGGCCTGAGGCTAGCAATCTGGCCGGGACGGGCAGGCGGCGAGACGCTCAGCTCTTTCTCCGCCCGGCCTTTGCCCCTCCTCCTCCTCCTCTTTCAGCTTCATCCCCATCCTCAGCCCTTCACCTTGACCAGACAAGAAGGTTAAGGGATTGAGAGTCAAAGGATGATCCACCATGTGCGCGCAGGGATTCTGTCCATTGCCTCTCCGATGCCATGCCCGACTCCGAAGTCCTCATTCACATCTCCGCCCCCGGGACCGTCCGTGACGATGCACGCTATCGGGCTCAAGTCGAGGCCATCCTCGCATTCCAGGCCTCCACCCGCCAAGTGATCACCTTGCGATTGGACAATGATCATACCGATGAGGTGAATACTGCCGACAGTACACAACCGACCGCCTCGTCGGCGGCGGCAGTAGGATCGGCCGCGAGCACCAATGGTGGTGAGGCTGATGATGATAATCGAGAGCTTCACACTAGCCCTTCGCATATACCTCATCGGCAACCAGAAACAATACCAGCCTGGGCCGGGCCCTTTTCACCTGGCCAAAGAACCCACCACGTCGCCGACTCTCTCGGAACCCCCATTAGTGTGGTTCCAGACTCGCAACCCGAACAAGTTCGGCAGGATATCCTCGCCTTGCAAGAGATCAATTCTCCCGTCCCTGCCACCGTACACGCTCACAGATCGTCGCCACCTACAACCGATGTACATACAGCGAAGCAAAGCGGGGTAAACTCTCCAATACCGGAGAGAAAAGAGTATACCAGCTCTCCGGACCGCGTCCGACATGAAGCTCCGCCCGTGCGACCACAGCCCGATCACACCCTGCAGGAGACAGAGTCTCCTGTATCTACATCGCGTCGCAAATATAATCTACCCCCAATAGCAGAAATTCCCCCAGCGAAGCGGAACCGAGTCAGTCCGCCTGATCTACCTGGAAAACAGGGAGAAGACGAACCTTTGCGCGGAATCCAAAACAAACCAAGTCACAATCAATCATTGCATGAACACGCAAAATCCACACCACCCGGCCCTAATCTTTCTTTTGCACTTGATAGCCCTTGCCAAGACACGCCCTCTACGAAAAATGCCCTAGTAATGACGCCCCTCAAAATCCACCCGCCATTGCCCCCAGTCTCCAGATTACTTTTCAAAACCCACATCACGCCAACCCTCGCGATGCTAGCCACACGTCTCCGCTCAGGACGAACGTATACCCCCGTCAGACAAGCCCGAGATCTGGACCCTCTCGAACGAGGATACTGGTTCCTCCACATTACTCTCGTTCCATCCGAATCCGCGCCATCACAAGCTGTACCCCACGGCAATCCCATCAACACCAGTACAACCTGGGACCTCTCCGTCTTCACCCGCTTCTGGACCTTTCTGTCTGATTTCATCAACAAGGAGGGTCGTGCAGGTTGGGGCGTGTGGTGCATTCTCGAGGATGCGCAGCCACCAAGCCAACTGCAACCACCCAAACCATCAACCACCGATCCTCTCCAGTCACTGTCCGGTGCAGCGGCGGTAGAAACGCAGCGCTTGACGCTCAAAATCTACGCGTGGGGGGAGATTGCCTCGCACATATACCTGCTCTTGTTTCTGGCTAGTGAGCGACGGATCCGACGGATGGGGGCGCAGTGGCGCGACGGAGGTGATGAGGTTATCATAGAGATGCCGTAGCTTCCCACATGGTACAGTACATACTGTAGCAGATCTGGCCAGGGAATGGTACTTTCTTGGACTAGTTGGCTACGTTGGCTACCCACCTACTTCCAGTATATAGATTCTTTCACTCAATACCCAATCTTAGTTAACATTCGTTTTAATCCAAGCTCGAAGATACTATAAGCACAAGCACGCAGTAGTTCTTCCAACGTTGAATGGCAGAAGGCCCGCCTCTTTTCGCGGCATTCAATCCCTCCCTTCCCAAGCATTCATTCGTGTCTTAATATTTCAGGTAAAGACTTTAAGGCACAGTTGACTGCCAAGAACCCGAGGCAGTCAAGTACATTCATCGGGTGAACGGCACCCACCGCAGAACAAAGTCCTTTTGCCAACACAGTCCAAACAAGACACCATAACAGGCTCCCCTGAGCCCCTCCATCTCCGAGAAGAGGCTTAGCGAGAGATATAGGGCAAACAGCCTTTCTACGAGCAGCGCCCAAGGCGAGATTTCACCATCCAGCCCTGTCCGGCTTTTATAGCCAGTCCTGCCAGACCGACGAACTTCACTTTACCCAGACGACCTAGCACGAGGATTTCGCCTCTAGTGGGGACTATTATATTTCAGGATATGTGAGCATCTGGTTTCATCCTCACGCGAGTGCATGCGCTTTTCTTTCGCTTGTGTGAGAATAAAAAGCTGGGGATCTTCAGCGACGTCAAGTCGCGCCATGGTCGGCGGTAGCAAGTCCGTAAGGGGTGTGGGTGTATCGCCGGAAAGAAAAGCACGCGATTCCAATCATCCGGCCGAGCTGTTGAGGTGGTAGAAGATATGGTTGAACCAAGTCTCGAAATCCATGTTGTCCGGGTGCGGATCGAAGGTGGACTGAGAGTCTGGCGTAGCCGTGTTACCTGGGCTACGATAAGGTTCAGAAAGGTCGGGGAGCAGAGGTATAGTCGTGGTGCTGGTGCTGCTGGTGCTGCTGGAGGGTTCGCCGTGTGTTGTTTGGCCAAATCGGAGCACGTCGGCCACCGCGCGGTAGAAATCTAAGTCCAGATTTCCCTCTGACGCAAAAATCGCATCAATGAGGGCAACGCCTCTCTGCGCGAGGATATCGCTCTTCTGGTCTGCGAGGCGGTTGCGCGCGGCTAGGATCGCCACCCGGAATTTATCGGTCTCGAGGCCTCCGTTGCTGTTATTCGAGGCGACACTGACCTCGAAGCAGAGGATGATCGCGGCCGTGATGCAGAAAGCGGAGTGCGTCCAGACGAAGAAATCACCCTCGTTGATGATGGTCTCATGCTCGCGTAAAATGGTCAGTGCAGCGGCAACACATGTTCGTCGGGTGTGCTGATACGAAGACGAGTGGAATGACAGGAACAGGAAAGGGCGGTGGATCATGATGATCTTTTCCGCGGCCGTGATCGCGAGACTGCGTCGTGCAATCCCTAGCCACGGGATTTCGAGTTCTTTCTCGACATCCGGTTGTAGCAGAAATCGGGGGAAGCCCTTGACAACGGAGCGCATTCTTTTGTCCAGCAGTAGGACATGGGCATACTGGTCGCGGAGAGGTTTCGGCTGGCCCATGCTCCCCAGCCCATCGATCAGGGATGGCATCAAATCTGCGATTTTTCGCAGCGCCCGTACATAACTACTCACCGTTAGGACGGTTTCCGGCATGTCGGTGAGGTCGTAGTCGTCGGCGTTCAACGGAGGTCCCGTAGAGTACTGCGACGGCGAGATGCTATAGGTATTGGTGAAGGGAATGGCGAAGTGATCTTGAATCACCATCTGACACCACACGCGCTTTCCCACTTCTCGCTGCGCGGTCTCGATCCATCCCTCCTCGGTGTCTAGAGATGCCCTATGCGCCTCTCGTATTCGGTGCACCCCCAGACATTCGGCAATGCGTACGGCAGCCTTGAACAAAGTGGCATTTAGCTGACTCCGACCCAGGTTATGGGCAATTTCAGTGGAGATGACAATCGCCTGTAGCGAATATATCGACATATCCTCGAGAAAGTGACCGGCATAGAGAGCTTCTAGCATTGTCGTCAGGAAATGATCCGCTGGAGGCATCATGTCTAGGTCGATATCGACAGCAGCCTTGGCTCGGCTGCTAATGCGCATAGCGAAAACGGTCGCTCCAAGAACCGAAAAGTAAAGAGCCATCCACAATGCATGATCTGGTTCTCCAGTACGCCAAAACCTCTCACACTGTTCGAGAAATGTGGGTGCGTGAATACAGTCATGGTGCCACGCCATATGGCATAAGTGGAAACGGATAAGCTTCTGTGCACTGAAAGCATCCATACCAGGGTCAAACGAACGTTGAGAAGAGCGCGGATTTGCTCTGGAGACTACGGGTCGACTATACTGACATCCACATTTCAGGTGTGGAAAGCATCCAGCAGAGTCTCTGCCCCATGCCAGATGCTCGATCGCAGTCAGTAATGATGAACCCGCTGGCTCCACCGGCTCAGCATGGCACTGTGCTTCATTGGGTCCGGGTGGTGGCGGAGGTTCATGCACATGTGGCTGTTGTTCGAGTGAAGTTTCCAGTCCCGGTTGAAGCTGAAATATTCTGTTCCGAACTTTTGATATGATTTGTGGTAACTCTAGCTTGGCTGCAGTGGATGTTGATTCAAGAAGCAAGTTCAGATCCCCGACCAGTGAGTCGAGAAAATTAACTTCGGCTCCATGTCGCGCTGCACTTCGCTGCAACTGCACGATCTCACGAGAGCAGCTGAGTCTCAACCGAATGCATCTGGTACAAGGGATGGTCTTGCTGCATTTTCGCTTGCTTTTGGTACATTCTAAAGACAGGAGTTATTCGTGAAGTCCAATGAAGAAAGGCAGTTGTACTCACCTCGACATGCTAGAGGCTGGCGTTGTGAGACGCGTCGAGATTGTGTAGGCACAGTCGACATCGGCCTGTATCTACCACGATACGATCCCAGGCAATAAGAAGTATTACTGGAGATCAGAGAGACGCAGAAACAAATGATTAGACCACAGCGTAGCGGGGCAGTTGGTTGTCGGGCCCGCACAGAGCATGCGCGTGCTGAGTCATCCTCATTTGTGCAACTCACAAACCACTTGTCGATTCGCAATCTAAACGGTCTAAACACTCTCTGTACAGTGCAAATTCTCACGTCTCCTTTGTGTTTCTCCCAGATGACTTCAAGAACTATATCCAATCTGTCTTTCTAGTTTATACCTATACCTTAAAGACCATGCCCATCTTTTTTGACCAACGTCACTGGTCCCTCATACTCCCGTTTTCCCTTGACCACATACATAACCAGACTCAGGATGAAAATAGCCACGAAGATCACCACACTCCAGTTGAAGTTGTCAGCCACCACAGGAAGCTCACTCGGCCAGAAGGACCAGAACAGCGCGAAGAGAACATAGATCAATCCAATGATATTCACAGCCAAACCATAGCGGCCCAGCCCCCAGCGAGCAGGCGGCAGGCTCTCCGGGTGGTAGAGCTTTCGCCAGATCAGACAGCTCATGGAGATGGAATAGGAGAACATGAGCGCTGCCACATTGAGAGACACTACGGCATTGAAAGCGGTCTCGGAGCCAATATTGATTAAAGCCAAGAGAGCACTGAAAACGCAGGTCAGAATCACCGAATTGACCGGAAGCTTACGCTTCTCGTCCACCTTCGCAGTCCATTTCGAGAACGGCAGCCCACGATCACGAGCAAAAGAGAATGTTTGCCGAGCAGTGGAGGCGTTGAATAGGATGTTGCTGAGAATCACCGGGATCAGGATAATAGCCATCAGGCCATTGACTCCGGACGTATCAGTTGCCTGCTTGAAGACATAGATCAGAGGATAGCCTGACTCATCGTTCAAGGCATCTTCAACGGAAGGAGTGGCGAAAAGCATAGTAATCAGCACAATCAATGCCAGGATTGCATTGGCAAAGTATGACCATGTGATTGCAATGGGCACATAACGACCGGCGTCCTTGATTTCCTCCGACATGTGGGCTGTTGCATCCGAACCTGATGAAGAAGATCAGTCTCCAGCCTTCATCTTTTCCGGGCGATATCGACTTACTCAGACAGCCATAAATTGCGGAGAGTTGGCCCACCATCACTGTCAAACCCATCGAAGAGAATCCACCGAAGTTCTCGAATTTGGTGAAGACCGCTTCAGCCGGCTGCAGGGGAGCCAGGACCCAGAGTGATACCACGATCACAACCCAGCAGAGCACATGGGTAGCGAGCAGGACATTCTGCATGCGGGCCATGAGGCCCGAGGCGTACACGTTGAAGTAATACGCAACCAAAATCATGGCAAAGACAAACAGGGTACCCTGCCAACCCGTAGCGTCATAGCTAGGGTCCCTGACGCTGATCAACCCTTGTATGATGGACCCTGTCAAGTAGGAACCGGAGGCTGTGCCTGCTTGCCAGGCAAGAACCGACATCCAACCGGTCACATAACTCAGAAACTTCTGATACCTAGCCGGTGCGAATTCCGAAACCCAATGGTATTGACCGCCAGACGTGGGAGCCCTAGAAGGCCACCTAGTTAGCTCATCATGGACGATTATTAGCTTGAGATTTCCGATCCCTTACATCGATGCCATCTCAGCCAGGGAAACGATGATAAAGCCGAAACCCACGGTACTCCAGATGTATGACCACAACATCCCTGCCAGCCCACCATCCTGCAAACCTTGATAGTTGGACCTGTCTCTCTGTTAACACGAATTCGAAGGAAGCCCGAAGCTGAGGCCGTGGATTGCTTACAGCAAGATATATTCCCAGGTGGCCTGCAACACAGCAGAGAAACTGAGCGCTGCCAGAGGACGGATGTTTCGCTATGAGTTGCATCCTTAGCAAAGAATAGACATTGTGCGATTGATATTGTTGGCACTCACTTTGAACTGCTGTGCCTTGCCCATGCGATCCATATCTGTCATATCATACCGTGTCCCCTTGACTTCATCCACATCATTGGCTTCATTGACCTCCATGCTCTGGAAGCCGGTCACTACCGGCTCCTTCATGTTGGATTGTTGCAAATCTTGTCGATTGGTCATGGTGTTGAGTCGCTCGAACGCTCAGGATGGAGAGAACATGGAGGGAGCAAAAGGAGGGGGTAACGGCCCAAAGAAATTTCATATCAACAACGACCGGACACTGCGGGGGAAGCTTGGGGCAAAGAATCAGGAAAAGGGGCGAATCACGCCAGCGCTATGCAAATTTGCCTGAGACTGTTTCCCGGACAGGGTTACGCAAGTTGAGGTAGACAAAGGATTGTGTCGCAGCACTAACGAGTTTAGCGGCACTAAAACCTCGCCTGCGCACGCCTCGATATCAACTAGCAACGGTCCGTCCGGCGGAGCAATTTCTGATCCCTGCACTCGCTAATCAACAATAAACTACTAGATTAACATGCTTATCTTGATTGGGATAGGCTTAGCCTACTTGTCTCTGGGTCTTGACCTGAAGATTAGTCTCGACCTTCCCTTATCTATTACCATCGCTTTTTTTACCACCTCGGCTCATAATCGCGGTCCGGTGCTAGTCACTTAGGGTTCGGCCAACTGCCTTTTTGATGCCGCCAAGACTAATCCATGCATTGCCCAAGTACTTCGAGCCCATGCCACAATTCAGCCACGCTGCATCCTGAGTTTCGAACGCTTGAGGAAAGTACCGGACCTGACCAGGGGGGGTCGCAGGTTCTGATCTGCCATAAATCGTACCGGCACTTTACCCTGAGATCGGTTCCTGCGAGGATGCTTGCTCGCCTTCGTAGAATCCACCCCAGCGTGGCACCCTCCTCTTCGTCTACTCATACATTCTTCTCTCTAAGGCTGTCATATTCTCATGACCTATACCAGCTTACCTCCGGGCATCTCCCCGCCGTTGGCGGAGAACAATGCCCACAACCATACGGGGCTGATCATCATCTTCGCAAGCGTGTGTCTTTTCCTGGTCCTCAGCTCACTGGCGATGCGCGTCTACGCAACGACGCAACGGTCGATGGCATTGAGCGATGACTATCTTTTGGGAGTTGCAGTGGTACGGAATCAAGATCTCTCCGGGTTCAGTCTTTGCTCCACCTCTAATGCCTGCACATATCAAGACAGGCAGTCGCCATCGCGCAAATAAGTGTCGTTTTTTACCAAACACATCTGGGCTGGGGAAAGAGCTCTGAACTCCTCGACCAATCTAGCGCAGAGCGAATGGACAAGGTATGTCATACAGTCCTTTCTTATCAAATGGCGGCCCATCACTGAAGCCAAGTGATCGCCAGAGCGCATACGCCTCCGACCTGCTCTACATCATCGTCCTCGGCCTCTCCAAATGCTGCACTAGTCTTCTATATCAACACCTGACCACTCACGCGGCACGCTGGATCCCACGCAGCCTTCTGGGTTTGTCCATCATCTGGACCATAGTATCAGTCATCCTCGTCGCGATCCGCTGCAGCAGGACCCAACCATGGATCGACATCAACGACAAATGCTCCAGTCTAGTCAGTGCTTTGATCATCCCCTTCCAACACAAACTCACTTACCTAACCCTACCCCCTCAAAACTAACCCTTCCAATGCCCACAGCAACCCCACTGGACAGCAACAACCGCCCTCGACATCCTCCTCGAAATCCTCCTATTCATCTACCCCATCAAACTAATCTACAGTCTTCGACTACGCCGATCCCGCAAACTAACCGTTCTCTCCCTCCTCGGCAGCCGAGGAATGTACGTTACGCCCTCTTTAACTATACCCTGCTACCACATCACACCCTTTTCCCCTTTAACTCTCAGATAAACCCCCTCAGCCCCCTTTCCCCAGCAAAACTAACAAAGAGAAAACGCAGCCTCCTAATCCCCCTAACAACAATCCACTACCGCACCCTTATCACCCAACTACACTCCCCGAACCCTACCCTCCAAGCCTCCACCCCGACCATCCTCAAAGAACTCTACCTCGCCACCAGCATTCTCCTCCTGACCCTCTCCTCGTTCAAGATGTTGGTCGCCGTCTACGAGGACGAGGACGGTCTCGCCTACTACACCAGTGACGGTGGCGGCGCCCACAACAGTAAATCCCGGCACCAGAACACGACCTGGAATACGCGGGACGGTGGGTCCCGCTCGTCGAGGCATTACACCAAGCGAAAGTCCCGGGTTGGTCTGCAAGACGCTGGTCGGGCTTATAATGCCGATGGCACAGGTGGCGGTAGTGGTGACAGTGGTGGTGGTGATACCATCGAGGAGGAGCCGATCTTGGGGCGCTTCGCGCGGGGCGGGCAGCAGCAGCTGGGGATGATGGGAATGGGGATTCGCAAAGATGTGCAGATTGAGGTGACGAGTGAGGTGGTTATTGAGTTGGAGGAGCGAGACGTTGGCGATCAAGATGAGAGGGATATGAATAGGAGGGGCGAGTCACGGGGTAGTGGGAGTGACTCGTACAATCTGGAGGGTGAGGGTGGACATGCCCATCCGAATCATCTTGCTGGGAGGATTGGGGGTGCTGGTGCAGGGTGGAATAGGGATAGTCGTGGGAGGTTCTCTGAAAGGTTCGGTGGGATTTAGCGGTAACGGATTGGCCGCATCGGGCTTCTGGGGTAAGTAGAATCAGGCTGGGACGGCAGTTCAAATCTGCTCCGTGCGCTCGCTCTCTGGGAAGGTATAGAACAATAGACTACGGAGCGGAAATCGACGATATCATGACCAAGCTTCAGACCGGAAGCGTGACTTGGGCTGTTGAAAGAATTACCCATTCTTACATATTGCTACCGACTAAAAATGGTCCGAGGAGAGAAGAACGCATGCCAATTCCATTGAATAACGACCATCGAGCAGCATTAGCTCAACCCGCGAGAGACGGAAGTATGATACAACTCAGCAATGCCGATGCTAGGAAACTGTTTTTCGATCCCAGATGAGTAAACTGTACCACCATAACTGAAACCCTAAACTACCTACTGAGTCGAAACCAGTTTTTGACCTGCAAATGGAAAGAAAGCGGAAAAGAAGAACCCCATGAAATACAATACAGACGCAACGAAGCCGAGACTAAATCGAAAGGTTTAAATGCAGAAGTAGAAAGCCAACGCCAAATTGTTACAAGCTGGGCTAATTGCTTCAGTAATTCAACTCCCCACTGCCGGCACCGCCAACGGCATCAAGATCCTCGTAGCTCTTGAGACTGCGGCCTTGAACAGCCTCGCGCGGACCCATACCTTGTTGCGCCCCGCTGGCATCAGGGAAATTGCCGGACCCCAACATAGCAGCCGCGGCAGGGTGGCCAGGAGGAATGTATGGGGCTCCAGAACTGGCAGGCAGACGACCTCCCGCTCCGTAGATGTTGGACATACCACGGATCGGGCTCAAGCGGCCGTTACCACCTGCTTGAGCACCATGTCGGATACCTCGGCGATCGTATGGTCCGGTGCGGTTATTGTAGCGACCACCACCACGACGCACAACCCCGGGTTGATGCAGGCCATGACCATCACCAGGAACCATACCATTTCCGCTCCAGGACGGGTTATTGACACCCATGAACCCAGGCAATCCAGAGCCAGGGAGACCCTGAAAACCTGGGGGCACACCACCGCTGCCTGCGAAGTGTGCCGGCATCGACGCCAAGCTGAATCCACGGGGAGTACCTGCCTGACCTTGGCCAGTGCCCAAGGGGAAATGACCGTTGCTGTTAGCATCCGACCGGGAAGGCGCAATGCGAGCGGGGTCGAGCACGTAGGCATTAACCAAAGCAAGCTATAACTTGTTAGCAACACCTTTAAACCACGGGGAAGAGAAGCACTTACGTCGCTGCGAATGTTTTCATACCACTCAGTGTGACGCTTCTCGACGTGCTTACGCCAGAAATGATCTGCCTTGAACAGCTTCGTGCACTCGGGAACCTTGCATCGGTACTTTGACTCGTCCTCTTGCTTCATAAACTTGCTCAGCTCCTCCTCCAGGGCCTCATCAACTGGCTTGCCGCCTAATTTCGCAATGTCCACATTCTCAGGCTCAAGGATCTGCAGGAGCTTGTCTTCAAAGGTCCTAACCCAGTTGAAGGCCCGCTGAAGCTGCTGTTCAGACTTGGAGCTGTATCGTTGAGACCGTCTTTCTTCCGCAGCCGGTGGCTGTTCCTCGCCCTCCTCGCTTGCCTCTTTCTTTTTGACGGGGAACGGCTGCCCCAGTGCACTAGCCCGAGCGACAGCTTTGGATTGTGTTGTCAGACCAGCGCGCGGGCGACGAAGATGTCCGCCTGGACATTTCCGAGCAAGCTCGTGGACTGAGTCGCATTCGAAGACACAGAAGAAGCAGAAGTTGTAGACTCTTCGAAGGTACTCCACCATCAAATCCAATTTCTTCTTCTTAGCCAGAAGTTCCTCATCATCCACATCGTCATCTTCCCATCCCTCCCGCTCCTCTCCTTCTTCGGCCTCGCCCTCATCAATGTCATCAGCATCGTAATCGGACTTCCTCTTCTTGACGCTAACGGGGCCAGTCACAGGGGGCTGTAGCCATCCCTTGCCGCGCAGATCTTCAACTCGCTCCTCAATTCGGGTGAAACCGTCCGCATTAGCCCCCATTTCAGCGTCCAGTCTGGAAACCAATCTCCTCGCCAGCTCCAAGTCCCGGGAAATGCGCTCGGGTGATGAGAATAGGTCCCACAAAGCCTTCTTGCGGGGTTGCGACGGGGGCACATGTACACCGACATGGCAGACAAAGTCACCGTGAACTTCATCGTGGATTGTTTTATCATTGATAGCTTCTAGGGCTTTCTCGGCAGCCGACACGGTCACGTTTCCGTGAGAGTTGCTATCCTGATCCATCTCTTCACCCTCTTCTTCGCGTCCATCGCCTCTTTCAACGATGGGAACATCAGGAGCTGGATGAAGCATGATCCAGCCCATCCGATGATATTTCTTGGAAGGGTTCGGGTCACTGAGGCTGAGCCATTTGAAACCTCCGTCTGATTCTCCCAAATGCTCCTTGCAAAATTCTTCGATTTTCACACGACTCACATTGGGAGCCAAGGTCTTGATCAGCAAGGCCGACTGGGATAACGCCTCATCCCGCAAGTCACCGCCTCTGGCTGGGAGTAAATCCAAGACACCCAACGTCTCGCCAACAGCAGTTGTTTCACCCTCTTCTTTCTCGATCACACCGCCAGCTCCGTCGCTCTCGCTCTTGTAAATGCCTTCCAAGGTGAACTCGTCGAAGATACCGTTATCAAGATCGTTCTCCCACTGCTGGTAGGCGCCCATGCGGAAGTCCATCAATCGGCGACGGAGAGGCTCTCGGACATCCGGGACATACCGCTCTTTGAACCATTCCTCGCTGCGATGATGTTGAACGAAAGTACGGGCCATCTTCGACTGAAGGTCGACTTTGTAGGCGTCGTAAGCAGCTTGGATTTGGGCCCTTTCTCTGTCTCGGTCTTCGCGGGCCTCGCGTTCTCCTTTGACGCGGTCCGATGGACGTCTGCCACCGTGCTTGGCGCGCTCCTTCTCTTCCTTGATTGCCTGCTCCGCCCTCCACCATTCTGCGAACCAATTGAACCCGACTTGGAAGTCCAGGTTAAGAGGGTTAGGCAGAGGGTTTGTGGGGATCGGGCGCTTGCCGGAATCCTGCCCCGGGACATAGCGATCTATATTGGCGACATTGGGCGACGGTGCAGAGCGACGGTCATCGCGCTCACGCGCGGCATGCTCGCGAGACGCGCCGTAATAATCGTCTCGTGGAGCACGGCGGTCGACCGGTTCATAACGGTCGATCATAGCAGGCGAGCGGGAGCGGCCGCGACCCCGACGGCGGTCTTGAGACACTAGCAAGTTCAAGATGTTAACAGTAGGCCGTGTAAACAAAAAGACAACCAGAATCTTTCCACTCACCAGGCGATCTGCGGCGATACGAATCCACTGGTGCACGGGTGCCGTAAGGATCGCCCCCATCCCGGCTTCTCCCAGGAGAGCCGAAACTGTCATATGAATCCATCACAGCAATGCCCTGAAGGGATATCGGACAGTCCGAGACTGAGAGTCACTTCGAGTGAATGGTCCGTGTTGTGAAACTAGCAGTGTACGGTCAAGTCGCGAGTTGACCCGAAGGTGGGAGGGACAATGGATAAGCTAAGATTCGACATCATCGGATTAGAGTACGTCCTTCACTTGTAAGAGTGTCTCAAGGGCGGGACAAGGATGATAGTTTGAAGGGATAAGGTGGGCAATGAAAGGATGAAGACGAGGCTGTAGGCCCTGAAATGGCCAGGGGACGAAGAAGAGGCATTTTTTTTCTTTATAGAAGAGACAAGAGCGAGCCAGAGAAGAGAGAGAGAAAAGCAGGGCGCTCACGCGAGCCAGACAAAGATTGGAGGAAAAGGGAGCACAGTATGGACAAGAGCACAGATAATGGTCTCGAGGGCCAATTACGGCGCGACGATGAGGAAGTAAGCTTTGAAATTGCAGGCACAAATGGAGATATTTGACTTGATCGAAATGCGATGAAGTTTGATTGAGAGATTGATGAGAATGAGCGCAGGGTAAGGGGGGAGAGATGAAAGACAAATGCGACGCGGAAGAGGATGGACTGAGCACGATAAGAGAGAAGTAAGGCAAGGCAGGCAACCTACACGAGAAGCCTTGGAATAAAGAGGTCTGGATAGTCCACTTGAAAGAGCGAATTGACGCAGCAGACGTCCAACCCGATGAGAAGATCAGATGGAACGAGATAAGTAAACTCGCAACAGAGCTGAATAGCGGTGCGGGTCAATCGGTGGGTGGGGGGGGGGAGGATGGAGAGGAAAGCTGGAGAGGAAAGGAAGGAAAGAAGGGGAGGGAGAAAGATGAGGCTGGAAGCCCGGACGATGAACTGCCGCTAATCCGCATCCGGACTAGGTCACCTGGGGCCTGTCACAGCGCGCGCCACTCTAAAATAGATCATAGTTATCCAGTTCGATCACTCAGAATCCCTCTTTAATCTCAACTTTATTTCCCAAGCTCTGTCTATAACATGTACTCGAAGTAAGGCTCAGAAGGCAGTGACGTCTCACACTTTCTAAAGCTCTCTAGCTCTCTAATTGTCTCGTCCTGACTATCCACTGATCAAGCAGTATCCGATTTGGAACTGACAGAAATATCGAAATAGAACTGGCTGGCATATTTGTACATAACTAGCATGGGAATCATCCGTCGAAAATCACAAGCCGGATCAAACACCAGAGTTGGTCGAACCATCAGCTGGCCATGGATGAAGGACAACAAATCGAGTTAGTGAGAAAGACCTCAGCGCTGGGTGAAGTAACCCTGCGTCTGGCTTGAGTCGGATACAAGAGTCTGGACGCTGCGCCCCAATCGACAATAGTCAAATCATCACTCCTGACACCTTTCCAACCAGCTCGCGCTTTAACTGCCAACCATTGATCCCAACCCCATTCCGCGCCAAGGCAAGACCAAGTGAGATAGCAGGTTTGGTCAAGGAAATTTAAGCCATCCATGACGGTCGCAAAATACAAAGTTGTCAATAACATTTGGGGATACCCGTCGATAGGACTGGATAGCAGTCTGTATAAAGCGGTGCCATCGACTGTAAGAATTTAGACCTCCAATGGAAAGACGCTGGGTCATGTAGCATCAGCAGTGGCATGAACAACATAATCCCTTCATAAATCGGAAACCGTGCACCGTCCCGAGAAAAAGAAAAATAACAGAACATAATCATCTCACACATGCAATCCTGACAGGCTGAACATCATCAGATGTAAGGGGTGGTAGTAAAAATACTTCGTGCCAGCATAACGATATAAACAAACATAAGTATAAAGGTGGCGTGAGGAAGAATGGAAGAAGAAAATTGCAACAGAGATAATGGTATGAACGTAAACATGTGCACATCGCTGGGTGGTTCAAGCGAAGGGTTGTGATATAAAGAAAAAAGCGAAAATAGTCAAAAACAACCATCCGTAAATCCGTGATAATGATTAGAAGAGGGCGCGAGCTTGCGGCCTAGAACGGCAAACGGTTCAACCGTCCTCGTCAGACAGCTCAGCAGATTCGTTCTCGCTCTCCTCGGCACTAGTGCTCGCTTTCGCGGCGTCGGTCTTAACCTTCTTGGGATTGGCATTTTCATCGTTGACGTCGCCCGATTTGCGCTTCTGCGCCGTAGGGGAGGTAGTCCCCAACGATTTCGTAGCATTGCTGTCGATGTTCTCCTGTCCAGAAGCCACGGCGCCAGCTGATTGCTTCTTCTCCATTGCAGCAACCTCATCGGCTGTTAAGAACCGTCCGCCGGGGCCTCTAGGACGCCGCATGGCATGATTGTGGCGCGATTCGTGCAAGTAAGGCTTGCGTCCCTTCGAGGTCAGTCGCAATTGCTCCTCCAGCTTCTGTCGGGCCACCCGGCGCTTTAAGATGCGGTGAAACTGCTTCGCATTCACATACAGCGGGGATTCATCCCCGCCACCAGTAACCATATCAGGAGAAGCCTGGCTTTGCTGAATTTGAGATTGGGGCGGAGCCACCATGGCCGGAGGCACGGAAGGTCGGCCAACGTGGTTGAGAACAGGCTGAGCACTCGGGACGTGAGGACTGCCGACATGGCTCATGCGACGCTGCTGCAACTGTGCACTCTGAGACATCTGGACTTGAGGCCCCATTGAGGCCATTTGACCAGATATTTGAGGGGGGGAACGAGGGTTCCGATCACCCTTCACCTGAACTCCAGCCATGCGTGGGGATCCCCGAGGACCAGGTCCCATCTGACCCGGCATCGAGTCTTGATGGATTGGATAGAATGGGCCCGATGCTGCAGCCGTCGCCATGGCAGCCGCCTGGGTGGGTGAAATTCCATACGTTTGCGGCATCGCAGCTGCGACGCCGTACGATTGGGGAAAGTTCATCTGCTGATGTACTGATCCAGGAGCATTTTGCGGTTGCTGGTAGTGAGACTGTGAGGGAACGATTGGGGAGGCCTGGTGTGTAGGATGAGCTTGTTGCATGTGTGCCTGTGGGTTAGTGGGAGAAGTCATTGACCCTACAGCAGGACCTGCGTTCGGGGGCGCTGTCTGGTAGGGGGCAGCGATGTGAGACGGGGCATGGGGATGCTGCCCGTGGGGCTGTTGATATTGCGGAGGATATTCCATCGTGAAGTCGCGACGAGCTTGTCGCGCTTCCAATCAGTGAGGATCAATCGAGCGCCCTGGCTGTCAGGAACCAGCTAGTCAGAACCAGTAATACTACAAGGACGAGTCGGTTGACAGGAGCTCAGTTGTCGGTGACCAGGTTGAGGATGTTCAAGGGACGATGATAGGTCGTGAAGCAACAGTTGCACTCCAGAAGATAACGGTCGTGCACAGAAAAATAAAGGCAGCCGCAAATAGTCTGTGGTCGAGACTGATGATTCGACGAGTTAAATGCGGAAGGTCTGCGGATTCTTGTTATAGTGTCAGCATGAAGCGCAGCACCAGCCGGTCACTGGATTCGGAGTGGGTGGGGTGGATGGGGGAAAAGAAAGGCGCTTGCACCCGGGCGCGTACCTCCGCTTTTGTTTTGCCAATACACTCGGGACGTCGACAAGTGACTGGGCAAGGTTGAACGCTTGTTTGTCAGTTTTCTCCAAACGACTTTCTCCGGCGGTTCAGTGTCTTTTGTGGAAATCTTTTTTACGTTCTCCTCCGAGTGTAACGTGGTTGGGCTTCGATGCAGCGAACCAGGGTGTCCTCGATAAAATGTTGCACTTGATGCGTTGTCAGACAAAGCGCAATCGCTTCGGTGATAGCGCACAGGTATATCTCCAGCACAACAGAGACCAAAGAAAAAGGGAAAAAAATAAATGCTACGCAGTATAATAAGACGACAACTGGCAGGCTACCTCGGTCGATGCTGCGCAGTTTCCAGAGTCAGTCGGACTGCTTGCTTGGCCACGTCCGTCTTGGAGGCGGTGCTAGCAGCGTGGTCAGCTACTGAGTCGCGACCCGGTAGTGCGGGCTAAGGCTAGTCCACGGGTCCCCGGAACTATAATGCGGCGTGGGACGCGCTGATGTCAGGATGCGCCTGAAGGGGGGCTTGCACGGCTTTCTCAGCTACAGCACACAATTAGCATCGATCATCTCCACAAACCAAGATTTCAGCTTCTTGATTTGTGTGCTGTCATCCAGGGTAAAAGTGTCAGGGTGGAAGAGGGTGGGGAGAGGGGAGGGGAAGGCAAAACAGTGGCGTCTTCGTCCATTCAGGGCTGAAGGATGTATGCGTTGGCAAGCGGAATCATGATGCAGCGGGTGACATACCTTGTTAATTGCAACGCACTCGTGAGCCGAGACAAGGGCAGTGGTCTCTTTTTCGCGTGCCCTTATCAAAATACGTGTGAACTGAACTCAAGGCTAGATTTCAGTTCGCGATGACGGAAATATGATTCGCGTCTAGCGAAAGGCGATAATGTTAGAGATATCAGATCCAAGACGATGGCAGGCAGGGATTGACGCGTGGTGATTGGATCGTGACGGGCGGGGACGGGGGGAAAGAAAGGTAGCAGCAAGTGAAACACAACAGAAAGCAAGCATGACACGATCGCGGATCAAAGGGGACTTGGCGAATTAGGACAAATGACAGAGACAATAGTATGAGTAGTTCAGGTACATATCAACAGGATAAATTTTCCAGGTTTGCTTTGCGTTCCCCAGAGGATGAGAGGGATCACAGTCGCGGTGTGCGGGTCGCGATCGCAGCAGCGGAGGGCAGAAACAGAAAACAACAACACGCCGCCGCTGCCTCGTGGTTTGAAACAAGGTTAATTACCTTTAGCAGCGATTATTCTCCGCGGGAAGGGAGAAGGTTTCAATGCAGCGCAACATGAAAAGGGCAAATCAAGTCAATGATTTGCCGGAAATCAACTGTCACGAGGGGAGAGATCTGAATTGATTTGCGGGTTCGCGCTTGCAAGAAGAAGGCGGGCAGCAGCAGCAGCAGCAGCTAACACGCTCACTTCTCCTCTTTCTCTCTCTCTCTTTCCCCTCTGACTGTTGCTTTGCGGTGCTTCCGCTGATGTCAGTCCGGCCCGGGATTGATCCGCCGGGTCAAACGCATCAAACATGGGAGCCCACCCTTGCCCGGGGAAGAAGCAGGAAGTATGACAGGGCCAAGACTTTGCTTGTTCGATGAAATAACCAAACAGGTAATGAAAAACACAAATCAAAAATGAACCAAGCACACAAAATTAAATGGCACAAAAGTGACTGGTGGAGAAGCGTGCTTGAGTGGTGATTGAATCATCATTATGACTGGGGTCTGATAGGAGTGCCGGCAGTGGAAGATGCACGGCGGTTGGAGAAACAACCTAGCTGCAGACCACACACTCTCTCTCTCTCACGGGCGGGCGGGGAGGGGAAAGGAGATTGGGGGCCAGCCTCGGAGATGAAGGGGGAGCGTGCAACGGGAATGGGCATCAACCAGATTAAGGTGATGCAATCAGAGGCATTCAGAGGAAAATAAAATAGATAATCACAATGTAAAAAGAACTATGAGCAAGGGGTATGTATGGGAAGGGGAAGGGGAATGGAAAATGGTATTGAACTGTTTGGAAAAAGTGATAGTGTTCACGTACCTTAGATGGTGATTCGATCACAACCGTGGTAAAGGCAGAAGAGAGATGAGGAAAGTGATCAATCACAAGAGGAGGGCGGATGGGGGGTGGGAAGGGCAAACGACGATTGGGTTGGACAAAGACCAGATAGGAGAAGCGAGTGGGAAAAAAAAAGAAATAGAACAGTGGCAGAGAAACCAATGGGCTCAATGGGCTCTGTGCGGGCAGACAAGAACAGTCCAACTGGGGGGGTTGACTGGACTCCCTGGAGGGACACGCAAGGACTGGAGAGGTTGGATGACCAACGAGAGTGAGCAGAGAGAGAAAGCCGCAGCGAGAGGAAGGGGCGAGCGATGGGGCATTTGTACCGGCCGCAGTTGCGAAGGGGAGCTGACTGGCTCGGTAGCTTCGTCGACTTTCCAACCTTTCCAGTTCCAACAAAGGTCGCCTCCAGGGTTTTTCGCTCCATCGGGTTTAACCTGTCTTAGGTAAGGCGGTCCGTCACTGACCGTCATTACTTACCCGTACTAGAAATTACCACTGGACACCTTGTATCCATCTTCCCCAACCACCACCATCATCCACTCACTCACTCACCCACCCATCCACAAGTTGCTTTTTTTATTCTCCTCTTTAAAGACAACAATTTCAGTTGATCAATATTATCTATCTGTATATCTATCTTCAACAGCGTCTACATCTGGTCATGATGTTATAAGCAAACAACACAAATGATAAATTAAAATGCCCTTTATTCACCACCCTTCCACCCAGGAACAGGGTTTCTTCGCCGCCCAGTCTGGAAAGCATCCGGCCCTCCCGAATGCTCATTTTGTGACTCTCAGCAGGTGTGACCCAACCGGGCCAAGCGTCCTCGGGAATCGAACAACAGCTGTAAGACCGAGGATGGTGGCCGACCTTCAATTTCACCAGCCACCCCACGTCCTAGGGACAATAATAGGCAGTAACGTAGCTATCGACTGCCAGCCAGCGCCAGCCAGGTGCTGATCAAGGTCAAGATCTTCTGGTGATTCCTCTCGGACCAGCGCCTGTTTCTGTGACATGAGGGTCTCTTGATAGTAGTTATTACGCACTATGTGCGACTGCTCCATCGAGAGCTCTGGCTGGTCGCGTCAATCTTCGCATTAGCATTCGCATTAGCATTATTCAAAACAACTCACTACTGTAGGCAGTGTCTTAGCCAGAACGTGCTTGCTGCACCATGCGACCTGAGCCGTGAAGTCACACTGATTGTGTCCTTCTGTAAGCGCGGCCGTTTTCTTGCTTTTCTTACCGTACGCCGCACGGTTGTGTAGACTGCTACTGGCCAGTGCGCTCAAACGTCAGCGGAGTTCATCGAGAGCCATGGCCAATCTCGGTTATATCTCCCCTTCAGGAAAGACACCTCGGAAAATAATAATCAGAGGAAATGCGAGCACGAGCGCTTTCGTTCGTTTTCTCTATCTTCAGCAAAAGCGAGGTATACCTATGCGCATTGTGGAAGAGATTCATAAGCTCGTAACCGCTCGCATCTGTAACTTTTTTTTTTATTTGCTTTTTCTTTCTTTCACTTTTTGCAGAATGCGACGATTCTTTGAAATCACTAGCGCTCTACCAAGCGCTGGATCACATTCGAATCAAATTTCCGACTCGACCGTGGTCCGCTATCGCATATTGTGGTTGCACCCCCAACAATCGGGCAATGGACCGTAAATCCCGGGGGCATCTAAGCGCCCTTCCGTCCATAGTGTACTGTTGTCCCAAATTCTATAGTTATCATTTGGGAATTCGGAGACGAACCTACAATGAATCATGTGATTGTTCGGTTACGTTATGGGAGTAGAACTCAGACAGCTCGCATCTCACTGAAAATTACAATTATTCATGAAGTGTCAGTACTGTCTTACTAGTAGTATGTCACATCTCTAGTCGAGCTGTGTATGCAGTTTGTCGCAGTTCTGGTTTGTACAGATGCTGAAGTGAACGCCGTGTCGCCGATCTTATCAACTCACAGAATATATATATCCGTTCTGACACGAGGCTCAAAGTCCTACTTGTGGAAGATCAGGTCCAATCCCAACTCGGAGCACTCAAACACCTTGCACAAGCATCGTAAAGAACCCAGTCAAATGTAAAACTCTTCGTATATTCGGGCCTGTCGAGTTCAATATTATCGTGATTGCTTGTGAGTGAAGAGTGTGGATTACTAGGCTGGTCTGTTCTATACCACGTGTGAAGCTTGACCGCCTGGCGCAAACTTACTCGTACAGCTCGAACGGAGCGGAACAAACAACCTCTGTCGCAACTCCAAAGTGAAATAAGGTGACAATAAAGGATCCTCCCTCAAACCCAAGAAGATGGATCCTGGCGCTCATATGGGTCCTCATGACATTCGCATGAGTGCGTTTGGCCTGACCTTGTGTCGAGGTTGGGAACCGAGACTTGACACTTTGCGATCGCATTACCGAAACGTGCTCCGTATATTGAACCCCAGCCAAAAGCACCCACTCGAGCTCTGGCCAAGTGACGTCAGGGCAGCTAACTATGGATGACAGTCCCGCCACACCGCTCTATCTGGGTCGCAAACAGCAGTGAACTGGGTATGTTTTCAATTGTGAATCATCAAGCTCTAGCCTACCCCATCGACGTCCTGCTCAATCGTCCCTCCCTGTCTCTGGCCGTACTCAGCTGGCAAGGATTGCACAGTCTTGACTTTGCCCGGGTCGAAGTGTAACCCACATAGGTGAGAAGGTGCTGGGCCGGAGGACAGACCAAGCGCTGCGGAGGGTTCCACTAACCGATCTTTCGGGATGCTATACACTGACATCAAGTAACATAGCTTCTGGTCGCACGAACATAAGCTACCCATAATTGGCCAGCTGTACTGCCTATAGATAGATCTAATCATTGGCCCACTGCTTATACTCAATTGCAAGTACGCGCTCTCTGGTTTGAATTCAGCCGA